AAAAAAAAAAAAAAACAAGTAAGAGGACTATAAGACCAAAAATATAAAAGTAGCTCAGTCTACATGCAATTTCACATTTCTCACAAAACCTGTAAAAGACAAATGTCAGAAGAGGATAACAAGTATAGAAAGGTTTTCCACTGGTTTTGGAGATGTACACCTCTGGCCCCATGGACAAGGTCAAATGCTTGAGAAGTTAACTCGTATGTATCTAGAATCAATATTCAATTTACATCCCATATAGCTCCTTCTTCTCCTTAGGTTCCTTATAAATCAACAAATTATCACTTGCCATTAAAGAGGACTATCCTACAGAAAGTGAGGCTAAGGTACATCTCAGGAGAGAAGGCCACAGGCTGGTCTCCCGGGTCCCAGGCCTACAGCAATACAAAGCCCAGGTTGGGCCTAGGATACCATGAGAATACGCCTTTATAATCAGCCTCCTTAAACCCAACTTCATCCATAAGCATACTAAGTGTAAATGGACTACACACTCCAATTAAAAGACAAAGACTGTCAAACAGAATTAAAATAACAACTCCTGACTATATGCTCTTTACTTATAAAAACACACAGAAGTTTTAAGTAGAAGGGTGAAAAAGATTTGACATACAGACACTAATCATGAAAGGGCTGTCAGGCCAAGCACAGTAGCTTATTTCTATAATCCCAGCACTTTGGAAGGCCAAGGCAGGAGGATCCACTGAGTTCAGGAGTTTGAGAACAGCCTGGCCAACATGGTGAAACCCTGTCTCTACTAAAAATACAAAAATTAGTTGGGTGTGGTGGTACACTCCTGTAATCTCAGCTACTCGGTAGTCTGAGGCAGGAGAATCGCTTGAACCAGGAAGGCGGAGGTTGGGGTAAGCCGAGATTACGCCACTGAACTCCAGCCTGGGCAACAAAGTGAGATTCTGTCTCAAAAAAATAAAGGGCTGTCAAAGTAGAGACAAGAAATATCACTAGAGACAAAGAAAGGCATATCATGATAAATATATATATCATAAAACCTAAAGTAACTGAAAGGAAAAATGGGCAAATCCATAATCACAGATGGAGTTGTGTTTTTTTTTTCTTTTATTTGAGACAGGGTCTCACTCCTGTTGCCTAGGCAGGAGTGTAGTGGCATGATCTCGGCTCACTGCAGGCTTGACTTCCCAAGTTCAGGTGATCCTCCCTCCTAAGTAGCTGGGACTATAGGCACATGCCCATCACACCTGCCTATTTTTTGTATTTTTAGTAAAGACAAGATTTCACTGTATTACTCAGGCTGGTCTTGAACTTCTGGGCTCAAGTGATCCTCCCACCTCTGCCTCTCTAAGTGCTGGGATTACAGGTATGAGCCACCGTGCCTGGGTGCAGATGGAGTTTTTAACAATCTTTCTCAATAACTGATAGAACGAGATGGCAGAAAACTAATAAAGACATAGAAGATTTGAACAGTAGTATCAATGAACTTGATCTAACTGACAATCCTAGGAGCATTCTATCCAATTACCACAGAATAGAACTGGATTCACCTCCTGTTCACTTACCCTAAGTCTTCATGATCCCTCAGCCCTTACCTTCTTTCTCTCTAGTCGTTCTTGCTCAATCTGCAGCATGATCTGTTCTCTTTCTAGACGCATCTGTTTAGCTACTTCTCGGGCCTTTGCCTCTGCTGCTTCTTTCTAATAGAAACAGGTAAATCAAGGCAAAGCTTTATTAAGCTAAGAAAACAGTGTGGCAATTCCCTGGCTTTGGACATGTTCCTTCATCCCATCATCTGCCCTAAAGTGGATGTTGCTCCAATATTCAATGTGGATTTATACAAACTGCTGTATGACACAGTAAACATGGTTGGACCTCATTCATATACCCCTAGCTCACCATGCAATTCCCCTGCAGACATTTCTTATACATGGAGAAGGCCTTTCTGTGTCTGCGGGCAGGCTTGGGCCATGAAGTGTGCACATGGCCAGATCAGAGAGTTAATTCCTCAACGAGTGACCTTCTCCAATGAGGGAGAGGAGGTGGTCGATCAGTAGTTCAGTTTCCTCATCTCACAGCTGGACAATTCTAAAGCATGATCCACTGTCTCTCAGAGGTTCCCAATGGGACTGTGTTCCAGTCACCCACAGTTAACAAATGCATCATTGGACTTAAATTGGCTTTTCTCCTATTCCTCTACCAGCTTCCCAGGATTCCCTTGCAAAACAACAACAAAACAAACAAACAAACAAACAAACAAAAACTGCTGGCACTCGAATTCTTATCCCAGGGTTTGCCTTTGGGAAAACCCAAATTGACAGATGGCAAACATTATCAACTTCACTGCGACTGCCCCAACTTAGAGTTAATAACCAGTCCAGACAGTTTAAGAAAAAACTTCAAGATTATGAGTCACTGAAATTTAACTAATTATACCTACTATCAAGGCCCTTAAAAAATAAGGAAAGTCCATCTGAGGACTCATACAGTACCTGCTTTTCAATCATGCCTGCCTTTCTTTTCTCTTCCTCTTGCTGTTTCTTCTTTTCCTCTTCCTGCTGTTTCTTCTTTTCCTCTTCCTGCTTTCGGGCTTCCTCTTCTAGGCGAAGCCTTTCCTCCTCTGCCTTTCTTTTCAATTCCTCTCTCTCCAGCCTTTTGAGAATACAACTGTTGTTAGACGAAGAAGACATGCTCGAAAAGCAAACTGCCAGAAAACTGCGCGCTGCAGCTGAGAATAACGCTCCACACACCTTCCAACGAGCATTCATTTAATAACATGATTCATCCTTCCTGGAAATCCACTCCGGTCCATACATTCACCAAAAATAATGACAGGCTTGACTTTAAATTCTGTAATGCAGCAATGAATGATGTGTCGATGTGTGACGCATGCTGTATTGAAAACAGATGCTCCTCCGTCAACAAACAAATGATTACGATGAGAGAGGACGCCAAGCCATCATTATTGAATTTCAATTCTTTTAAAAAGCCAAGCAGAATAAATATTTAAAACCAAAGAAAGCTAGGAAAAATGGAAGTGTCTCAATGGTCACAAATGTGCCAGTCAGCAATTCAAGAGGAGTGACTATGAACTCAAAAAGTTCACTTTGGTTTCTAATTGGTATGTGACTTATGCAGCAGCAAATGGAAGAAAATGCTCAACACAAACTTGACATTTAATAAATTAAAACATAAATTTCTATTTATTTTGGCAATCTTTAGAAATCTATTTTAGCTTTCTTTGCTATATGAAAATTAAGTGGCATTTAGACGTTTCATCCACAGACAGATGAATGGTTCATGATGTAGTGATAAGAGCTCTAAGCAGTAAGCGAAAATTCTATAAAGTCCAAGAGCTTGTTTTAACCTTTTTAATGTTCTTCCTCCTCACATGTACGTCACTTTCCTTGGGTAATCACTGGCAATGTGATGTATGGGCATGACCCAAATTGTACTCTATGCCACTACGTGACACTTGGAAAGTCACTCAATGTTCTTGATGCCCACTTAAAAAATGGAAATAGCTATACTATCGTTCTATGGCATTACTGTGAGACTGAAAATGCCTTTCACAAATGTTAAAAGGTTCTCAAATGTTAGTTCATTTTACAATTTAAAATGAATCCTCTCTCTAAGCCCCAATGTCCTTTAAAGTGCAACTATAAGTCTGCATGTCTTTTAGAAATTACCTTCATTTGGAAGCATGTGCCAATGACATACTGGGGTGCTGCCTGCTGGTGATTGCATTCTGGCCTTTTAATCCTCATTCCCTGGATCCGTTATGGACAGAGTCCAAATTGCCACCTTTTTTCAATCTTCGTCATCTTCCTTAGTTGATGGTTATCACCAAATGCTATACAGAGAAGACTGAAGCCACCTGATCTGAGCTTCTTAACCTCTCCTCTATGACATTACTGCTCAGAAATGTCCCCACTTGTTCCTCTGCTTAGATGGAAAGGATTGTAAATGCTACCACTTGTGCTGTGAATTCCACGTCCTCCATAGCTATGTGTCCCTCCCACTGGCCCCTCTTCTTTCATTCATCAGTTTCATCCTTCTGCATTCACTTTTCCATGCCCTGGAAAAATGCTCAGGTCTCGGGCATCACAAGCAACCATCCTCAGTCCTCTCTTACCTGCTTCTCATTCATGACTGCATAACAGCAGCTTATATTCTGGGCCTCTATCTGCTCACCTCTTCAGGCTGCTTGGTCTCTATACCACTTCTCAACAATTTCCCTCCAAAATCTCTGTTCATCTCCTAAATCCCAAGACCAACAGCCTTAGTCCTGACACATATTATCAGAAGATCCCACCATGTGGCTCTCCCTACAGCCCTGTGCAGCATGAGGCTGCAGGATCCTGGCTTTCTCCTGCCTCTCTTGGCTTTCCCTTACGGCTTCAGCTGCTGCCCCACATCGCATGTGCCCCTGCCTGCCCTAGCTCTCACCAAAACCACCTGCCACCTGTAGGGTTGGCAGCAAAAAGCCAGGCCTGAGCAGCCTCGAGGACTTCTGCCTGTGGTTCCTGGCCTGGACTAACTCTTGCTTGGACAAGAAGCTTTCGCCTGGCCACATGACCTTGTTCGTGGGGAGCTAACTGGAATATTCCCTTTTCTTCAATTTTTTAGAGATTGGGTCTCGCAATGTTACCCAGGCTCGTCTCAAATTCCTGGCCTCTAGTGATCCTTCCACCTCAGCCTTTCAAGTAGCTGGGACTACTTGAAAACACTGCGCTTGGCTGGAATATTCTTTTATGTGAACCCCTAGCAGCTATTTTTAGTTTCTTAACATGACCAAACGTGTTTAGGAATCCCATTAAGATCTCCTGCTTACTAGTTCCTGCCAGTGCCTTCTCCAGGGTGGACCTGGGGTCTAAGGTTTCTTGCCCCAACTCTTTTTTTTTCTCACTGTCAACTAAACCCACTTTCATTAGCAATTTTTTTTAAAAATAAATGAGAGGTTCTTATGTTGCCCAGGCTAGACTCAAACATGTAGCCTCCCCTCCTCAAGTGCCAGGACAACTGGCCTGAGCCATCGTGGCTCCCTTCTTGCCCCAACTCTTAAGAATCCCAGTTTATATCTTGGGCCATCCACAGCCCGGGGACTGGGCCCTGTTGTGTTTAGGAATGGGCCAACTTTTGTTCTTCTGTTTAGGGCCTGCTTGTCTGGACTCCTGGTTGGCCCTTCTGTTCTGGTTCCTCCATCCTTGACTTGGATGGTGTTTCCCTTACCAGTTTGTGACAATAATTGGGCTTTCCACAGTTTGACTCAAGTAACTTTATTTTTCTCTTAATTCTTTTATTTGGCAACATATCTGTGGCTTTAACTATTTTATGTTTAACTCTAAACATAAAACAGATTTGAGGATGGTCTTATTCCAAGAGGTGGCCGTTGTGTTCCAGCCCCAGGTTGTCTGGTCCTTTCCTTCCTTACTCCTCACCTCCCACGTGGCACTATGCAAAGCTTCACATTCTGGCAAGAGAGAGGAAAACTCATTTTGCATCAAGCGTATCACTCTCATTTTTACCTATGCCCCCAGGTTTCAATTCCATCTCCTATCACCTGAACGTACTACAGACACCATAAGCTTATCTAAAATCAAATGAATAATTTTTATCATTTAAAACGAATTCCTTATGTCCTCCTTTTACCTGTTATTGGGTGTACCATTCTCCTAAGGCCTTAGAATCAAACCTCAGCATCAACTTCAAATCTGCCCATTTCTTTCGCGTTGTGTAAGTCCACAGAGACTCGCTTTTCCAGGTCTGCCTTCGCCATACTACTTTAGCCCTTCTGTTCTCTTAACCTACTACTGCGATGGTTTCTTTTTACTTTTTTTAATAGAGATGGGGTTTCACCATATTGGTCAGACCGGTCTTGAACTCCTGACCTCAGGTGATCCACCCTCCTCGGCCTCCCAAAGTGCTGGGATTACTGGCTTGAGCCACGCCTGGCGTGATGGTTTCTTAGTCAGGATTCTTCCTCCTTCTCTTCCTTTCTTGTACATTTACTGAGTGCCAGGCACCAGTGATCCAAAGACTGTGTCCCAGCCTTTTAAGGTGCTAACTAGGGGGAAAGAGGCCTGTAAACAAATGAAGCTATGTAAGTCAGCTGAATAGCTGGGCTTGGTATGGGTGAAGAGTGGGGAGTGGTCAGTTCTGTCCCAGGCACAGGGCCAGAAAAGGTACAGGGAGGGAGCAAAACTTGACTTGCATTTTGAGAAAGGAAGAGGTGTCTGGCAGGAAGGAGCACAAGTCCACATGGGGGCACAGTAAAAGCACAGCTTTGGAGGTGTGGAGTTGTGTGATGAGTGAATGTCAGGGAGATTTGCACGTTGGTGTCCAGAGGAAAGCAAGGGGTAAGAGGCAGGTAGTGGCCAGTTCATGGCAGGCCTTGAAGGCCTACTGACAGGTTTGGGCGGATCCAGTGGGCAGGGGAGTCACTGGCTTGTTAAAGGACAGGAAAACAATCACATTTATTTGAGAAAGGTCAGTGTGGACCCAGCGTGGACAGGTGACAAACTCTAGGAGACCTAGAGCAGGGAGCTCAGTTGGGATGTGACAGATACAGACCAGGTCAGAAGCAATGGGGGCTGGAGCTGAGGAAGGACAGGAGAGGCTGGAAGGGAAGGGAGAGAACAGAGATGCGAATATGACAGCTGATGAAGAGTGGACCCAACAACCACTGGGACAGGGAGGAGGAAGCAAAGAGCTGAGAGTGGCACTGAGATTTCTCACTTGGGTGCCTGGGGAGACGAGAGTACAGAGTTCATGGAAGAGAAAGGAGGTTTGGGGAAAAATACTAAGTTCTGCTTTGGAAATGCTGGATTTGAGATGTATATGAGACACACTCAAATGAAAACTTATTGCAGCTGGAAATATGGTCTCTAGGTTCTAGACCAGTGCTATCCAAAAGAACCTTCTGTTGAGTAGGTAAACAATCTATAGATTTGTGCTGCCCAGTGTGCTGTGGAGCCACATCTAGTTAGATGCAGCTCTTGGGCACGGAAATGTGGTGGGTGTGGCTGGGGAACTGAATTTTATTGAATGTATATTTTGGTAGCTACGTGTGCCTAGAGACTCTGATAGTGGACAATGCAGCCCTAGACAAAGCTCGGGCCACAGGCATAGATTTAGGAGTTATCAGTACACGTGTGTTATTAGTGCCTCCCTTGCTCCAGAAAGTATGGAAGGTTTAGAAAGCAATCTGCAGTTCGCTCCAGAAACAGATGATAAAACAAGACAAAAGGAAAATGAAGGTGGGAAATGAGATGACAGTAGAGTTGGTTTAGCACAACAAAGGCTCAATAGAAAACTGTTGTATAAAATGTGGGCCCTACATCTTTTGAAGCCAGGGGAAACTGGCAGCATGGCGGGCACACTGGCAGAACAGGAGGGAGCAGTGCTGCTTGGGAGGGCTTGTTGGAAGAGAAGCTGGCTGAGGACTGAGGGCTGAGAGCCCAGGCAACATTTAAGGGGATGAGAAGCGGACAGAGGAGGCTCTGAAGAGAGGCCAGAGAAGAAGGGCAAGCTTGACAAGGTCAAAGCCAACCAAGAAACTGATTAGGAGTTAGGCAACGAGGAGGAGTGGTAGGTGTAAGGTTTGAAGACTGAATGTGAGTTGAGAAAATAAAGACAGAAAGAAAGTTCAATCAAGTCTTTCAGGACTGGGCTGTGAAGAAAATGAGTGAGACAGAGGGTACAGCTGGAAGGTAAAGAACATCACCTTCTTTACACATGGCTATAATCGTGTTAGTCACCAGGTCAGAGCTACATGGTACCTGCATGGCCTGCAATTATCAACACTTAGCATCTGAGGTCCTGTGATTCCTCTTATCTCCTTGGACCTCTCCCTTCCCACACCCTAAGGCCCACCCAACCAGCCCAAACATACCACTTGACAAAACAAACAAACCATGTCTGCACTGACCAAAAGATTGGAAACAGGAAAACAATCAAAGAAGTCCTGAATTTCAAGAAGGGACCATCCAGACCAACCCCGCTGCTCCTTTTAAAAAATAGATCAGGCCAGATACCGTGGCTCACACCTGCAATCCCAGCACTTTGGGAGGCCAAGGAGGGCGGATCACAAGGTGAGGAGTTCAAGTCCAGCCTGGCCAAATGAAACCCCTTCTCTACTAAAAATACAAAAAATTAGCCAGGCATGGTGGCACACACCTGTAATCCCAGCTACTCTGGAGGCTGAGGCAGAGAATCGCTTGAACCCAGGAGGCAGAGGTTGTGGTGAGTGGAGATCATGCCACTGCACTCCAGCCTGGGCGACAGAGCAAGACTCCATCTCAAAAAAAAAAGATCATCAAACCTGTAATCAGAGACCACAAAGACTTACCAAGGTCACTAAAAGATCAAGAATATTCTATTATTTATTATTCTAAATTCAGTGCTGGCCTTGAAGTGCTACAGCATTGCCTGCTTCCTGTCATGTTAATTCTCTAAACAGTATTGGATTGTACTCTGTGATTAGCCTAACAGCTTCCTTTATCAATTTAATGATAAAATCGACCTTGTCCTTCAACATGCTTTCCTCTCTAAATAAAAAGACCAGAAAAGGAAGGACTGTCTGTATTGTGACAATGTACCCTGATACTAACATCAAGTGTTTCTCAAATCCTGGCAAGCTACTAAAACAGAACAGGGCTGAGTCCATGTATTCTTACTGCATTCCTAGGATGATTCTGATGCTCTCCAAAGTTTAGGGACCACTGCAATGATGTCTTTTGTCTTGCTCCAGGATGGGACTCCCCATACCTCACTCACTGTTCTTGGACTATGAGGCTTCCCCTCCATACAACCCTCTGCCTAGGGGATACTCCTCAACCCTCCCCTCTCTGTCTTACTTTGGAGTGTGAGTTAGGATAATTTGATGGAGGAAAAAATTTGGGAATCAGAATCAAGACCAAAACCAGAATTTAGAACCTCTTGTCTTCCCAGGGAGAATCTCTTTTATTTTTTTCCCTTCCCTACCACGCCTGTGTTCCCAGGGAGAATCTCATTCTGTAAACAAAGCTCAAACTCCCCTGATAGCTCTAGGAGGCCTGCCTGGCCCCAAAGTCCAAGAGGAGAATGGGAAGATGCCTGTGCCATTTAGATCCAAGAGCTATGAGTTTCCACGTCCTCTGAAAAGAGCAAAGTTCCATTGTTGTTATTAATAATTACATCTAATATGAGAAGCAGTCTCCTGAACACCTTCCATGTAGTTCAGACATTCTAGGTTCCCATACTTCTGTTCAAGTTTTACCAATACCAACGCTGTAAAAAGAAGAGCAAGTTGCTCTTGCCAACACAATGTTTATATGAGATCACACTGAAATCTGAGCACTTGCATACCTATCTTGTTCTTCCTTCTCCAGTCGTTCTTGCTCCTCCTGTTCCTTCTGTAGCCGGGCCTGTCTTCTCTTTTCCGCCAAGATCTTTGCAGCCTCTCCTGCATCAGTGGTGCCTGCTGTGGGCTTCCCCAAGGCTGCACCAGAGGAGAGTCATCAAGAGGAAAAGGTCAAGGCAAACGAACATAATGATTCCACTCACACAGCAGCTGCCAGTTGAAAGTGAAAAAAATCCAATCCAGTGTGGTGATGGGAAATGCTGTCCAGACCAGCCAATCAACCACCAAGCAAGAGAAGCTGTCATAGGCTGGATATGACCTTAAATGCTTTTTACAGTGGAAGACAATTGAAAGGTGAGGAGGAAATACAGGGCCACTGGCAAGTGCCACAGCAGCCACCATCTGGGTAAACTCGCTGCATCATAGAAGCCTGAAAGACTAAAGGAAGATGATCTCTTGTGTGAGGTGCAGATGCAGGCTGAACACAGCCTGTCTTAACTCAGCATCCCTGTGAGCTTCCACAGCTATGAGTAGAGTCAGCCCCTAGGTCTCCTCCAGGGGACCTCAGAAGACTGAAGGAAAGAACTCAGGAGCAACGTGCAAACCTGAGAAAGCTGCATGAGGGAATGAAGTTGTCCCCAGGGAAAAATATCTCTCCCTCCCCCAAAACACAAGAGAATGGCATGTGGACTGGGTCTAGGGAGAACCGTCTTGGGAAAGCCAAGGCACGGTGGCAGCATCTACCTGCACCGTTTTCGGCCTTCCCTCCTGCGGCAGCAGTGTGCTTCTCACTGGCATGCTTGTCCACTAGATGCTTCTCTGGGGCTTCCTCCCCTTGCGGGCCAGCAGTCTGCTGAGTCAAGGCACCTTCCCTTTCCTTGTTGCTCTTCTCTTTATCTGCTTTCTTCTTGGGCGTCTCTTGGCTGGAAAGGGCAGGTAAGCGGTATCTCACAGGAGACCCTGAGTAGGGAGGTTTTGTTGTCTTTGGAGACTGTGGATAAGCTTTAGTAGCTGTCCTGGAAAACCAAAAATATACCAGAGGATGATTCCTAGGCCTGAACACAGAGCTCTCTGTTTCTAAGACACCTAGATCCAAGAAGCTGAACAATTTCATCCTTCCAGAGAAAGGAAAGTAGGGCTTAGCACACACTCAAAAGTCACTAAAGTGCTCTTAGTCCAACAGGAATATATGGTCTCTCTAAGATGGCCCTGGTGGAAAGGGAAACATTTTAAGGAGCACAGCTGGTGATGCCATGTCCTAATCTCACTTAGGTGTCATGACAGTGTAAAGGTGGAGTATTAGGTACTTTCCCACTCCCTTTCTTTAGGTGAACATCAGGGTTGAATCTGGTTTTAGCATATGGCAATAAACAAGCTGGCTTCTTTTAAAAAACGTGACAAAATATATATAACATCAAATTTACCATTTTAACCATTTTTCAGTGTACGGCTCCAGTGGCATTAAGTACACTGACACTGCTGTGCAACCATCACCACCATCTATGTCCATTTAACACTAACTCTCCATTCCCCCTCCCCCCAACCCCTGGCAATCACTCTTCTACTTCCTGTCTCTGCGGAATATACCTATTCCAGGTAACTCACAGAAATGGAAATGATATCCTATTTGTCCTTTTATGTCTGGCTTATTTCACTTAGGAAGTCTTCAAGGTTCCCCATTCCTTTTTAAATGCTGAGGAACAAAGCCAACAGATGGGGATGGGGGGGTGTTTTTTGGAGGGTCTCAGGTTTAAAAGAAGCTCTCTGCTCCCTACTGGGCAGATATAAAAGGTGAGGACAAGCCACTTGGTTAAAACACAGGAGCTCATCTTGTGTCTGCTGGGAAAGGGTTCATTACAGGTAAGCCAGCCAAGGCTTGGCTCCTGGTGAGTGCTGCTTGTTCAGGACACAGGTAACAGCTTAGCTGGATATGCTCAGTTTCCCCAGAGGTCTGAACAGGGATGTGGGCATTTGTACAGAGTTCCTCTAGGAAGGATATAAAGTACTGCATACAGAAATTACAAGTCATCACTTACAATGCTGTAGCAGGATGAATCATAAATTGCCAATATCTGATGTTTTTTGATCTATAAAAACAGCAATAAAAATGGCAAATCATCCTAATATTCAAAGACAATTTTTCACCAGAGGCTTAGAGTTAACTAATCAGATCCTGGTAGTAAGGGAAAATACGATCAGTTCAATATTAAACTTGGTCTTGAAGGGAAAAATAATCCTCAAGTGGCATATAGACTGGCTGAGCTGCAGGACGGTTTTCCAGCATGTTCTTATGTTAAAGGGCCAGCTCCCAGTGTCCAGGAGATCACCTTCCCCCTTTTCATCAATGTCAGGCAGAGGGTCAAATAAAGGCAGGAAACAAAGAGGTGATCACTTGATACAATGCATACATCATAAACATGGTGTGAATTTCTAAAGTCCAGTTGTTTCAGTATCAACCATTTTACTCATGTAAAAGCAGTCTACATCACATATCCACCATACAGGCTGTTCACCCCTCCCACGGCCGTCTGGCTTCTCAGCTCGACAACTCTAACCCTAAGCAGAATCCTTTCATATTGGCTCAAGTGGCTTCCCTGTGTCCTCATCCCATTAGGCCTGAAGCAACTCAGAACTCTCAAGACACCTTGTCTTTGTGGATGGTGCTTGGACTCTCTGCAGACTGTTCTCCCCTCTGGCCTTGGGCTCAGGCCCCACACTCGGGTTCTCCTAAGGGATGTGCTTAGGAGAACCCGAGTGTGGGGCCTAAGCACCCTTCAGAGTGCTTAGCAATCAGGTGTTTTTTTCCAGGTACACTACATAATGCTGGTCTTCTATTTTTTCCTGGATTCTTACCGAGTAAAAGCTATGCGGAGAATCCCACTGCCCCGCCATACACATAGGCATGCATAGCGGGCTTCCTCAACCTGGCATCACTGACATTTGGGGCTGGACAGTCCTTTGTTATGGGTTATCCTGGGCACTGTGGGATGTTTAGCAGCATCCCTGGCCTCCACTCACTAGATGCCAGCAGCAATCTGCTCCCTACCCAGGCTGTGACAAACAAAAATGCCTTCAGACATTGATAAATGTCCCCTTAGGGACAAGATCTCACTCAACTGAGAATCCCTAAGTCATGGGGTGGGGCAGGGAGTGAGGGAGAGACAGAGAGAAAGACACACACACACACACACAGACACAGATGTACACACACACACTGTCTGTATCCAGTAGGTAAGAGTGGAGCTGTTCTGCTTGGAGGGGGTAGTGTCCAATCCCCACGGTGACCTTGAGGCTCCTGAGAGCCCTAGCTCCAGAGGTAATGTGTGAGTGCCTCTATGATTCAGCACGTGAGTCCTCATGTGTTCTGACACAGTCAGGCCAGGTCCTTCCCCTGGCCATTTGGAGCTCAAACCTCCATTCACACTCTCTGCAGTTGTGTCCATGTTTACTGAGTGCTGTCTACACACCAGCCACTACGCTGCTAAATGTATACAGACACATATTTGCGTACACAAGTATATAAACGGTATGACACAGGTACTATTATCATGGCCACTTTACAGATGAGAAAACTAGGCTTAGAGAGGTGAAACGGCTTCCCACAGTGAACTAAGCCACAGAACCTTCTTTTTTTTTTCCCATTTATTTATTTTATTGCATTTTAGGTTTTGGGGTACATGTGAAGAACATGCAAAATTGTTGCATAGGAACACACGTGGCAGTGTGATTTGCTGCCTTCCTCCCCA